AACCTCATTGTTAAGTCTATCATGTATATTTTAACTTATAATATGAAGTTTTTAATATTTCATTATTTAAAAAATATCTGTAATGTATTTTTACGTGGTATAGCTACGCTGCAGCTATATTATGGGAAGGACTACACTCTCACTCAATCTCAATACCAGCTTAAAATAGCAGCTCAATTTCGTTTGGTGAGTGTCGAAAACCGGTTATCCTTTTTACTGGAAACGAGGCATTCCATCTTAGACCTTAGGGTAACATCTGCATTTTGGTTCTTAATCGGGCTTAGATGTAGAGGGCCACATCTTCCACTTACCATCAGATGGACTGTGTGCTTGTTTATCATAATGATTCTATAATAATAGTACTGAAAAAGAATAATCATTTCGAATACATACTAAAAGAAAATTCACACGTTACGACACGTTATACGCTAACAAAATCTCCAAAAAAAATGTTCCGAAGCCAGCCGCGGCGGCAGCACACATACACATTTAATAAACGTCTTTTGTTGTCCTTTTCCTTAAGCTTACGTAACCATGGATTCACATTTCTTAGCCAAAGGATTATATTTAATAAAACATGAAAATATAATAAAATTATTACTTGTGATATAATATTCTGACTGAGGGCCGAAGTGACTAATTGAACACTTTTCGGCACTTAAGTTTTGGCGTGCTAGTAACGTATCTACCTATTTTATAACATACACATATCATTGATTTTATTGTAACTTAGCTTCAAAAAATATCTTTTAACAAACAATATAATAAATGTAATTCTAAACAATGTGCAAATCATACCATTATGTATCTTGATGATTTCCCATCAACCATTTCCTCCGTGGGTGTTTTTTTTTTTTTATAGTAGAGGGGGCAAACGAGCATGCGGTTCACCTGATGGCAAATGACTACCGCCGCCCATGAACAACCGCAACATCAGGGGAATCGCAGGTGTGATGCCAGCCTTTTAAAAAGGAGTAGACTCTTTTCTTGAAGGTCGTATCGGTCCGGAAAAATCGCTGGTGGTAATCGATTCCACAAGGAAGTTGTGCGAAGAAGAAAACATCTTCTAAATCGCACAGTGATGGACCGCCAATCATCCAGGAATGGTATCGCAAGTTCTATCGCGATGTGCGATAGTAAAATTGAGGGGCTGGAATTAGTCCGGACAATTCCTCAGAGCACTCCCCGTGGTAAATGCGATAAAATACGCAAAGAGATGCAACATCTCTACGCAGTGCCAGTGTATCGAGCCGATCAGAAAGAACTCGGTCGTCGACGATTCGAACCGCTCTGCGCTGGATGCGGTCATGTGGAAGGAGCTGGCACTGGGGTGCCCCGGCCCTGAGATGAGAACACTATTCCATGTGAGGCCGGATTTGCGCTTTGTAAAGTTGCAAGCGATGTGCCGGCATGAAATACCGTCTCGCTCTGCTGAGCTCACTAAGCTTTTTAGAGGCCAGTTTGGCCTTCCCTTTCAAGTGACCACAAAACTGCACACTATTCGATATGTCGACGCCGAGGATTCCGATGCTAGCTGATGCAGCAAGGGGAGTGCCTTGAAACTGAGGAGATACGACAAAGGGGTTATTTTTAGCGGTAAACGCGCGAACTTGTCTGGGGATTGAACTGGACTAGATTTAGTCGCCCCCAATCCGAGACGTTGTTCAGCAAAGACTCGACTTCAGACACAAGTTTGTCCCGGTACTAGACTACGTTTTCCCGAGAAATATTGGCACGGCCAGTATATAAGGAATCACCAGTGCTGTCGTCTGCATAGCAATGAATGTTACTAGTTTGCAACATATCATTGATATGCAGGAGAAACGGCGTTGGTGATAGCACGTAGCCTTGTGAAACACCAGCGTTGATAGGCTGGAAATCAGAGCATGCACCGTCTACTAAGACCTTGATGCTCCGATCAGCAAGGAAACTGGTGATCCATTTGCACAATTTCTCTGGAAGTCCTTAGGAAGGAAGCTTTAAAAGAAGCGCTTTGTGCCAGACCCGATCGAAGGCCTTCGCTATGTTTAAACTAACGGCCAATGCCTTCCCCTTGGACTCTACTGCCTCCGCCCATCTATGTGTCAAGTAGACCAGAAGATCACCAGCTGATCGACCCCGACGAAAACCGTACTGGCGGCCACTAATCAGATACAAGATACCTCATGAGCTGGCAGTTTATAATGGATTCCATTATTTTGGAGAACAAGGAGGTTATGGCGATAGGCCTGTAGTTGGACGGGTCTGAACGGTCGCCCTTTTTAGGGATCGGGTTAATCAAAGGTGTCTTGAATGAATTCGGGACTACGCCTTGGGAGTAGGAGTACCGAAAAAGACGCGTTAAAACCGATGCCAACTCCGGAGCACAAGTCTTCAGCACAATGGGAGGGACTCCATCAGGCCCACTCGACTTGCTGAAGTCCAGGGAGAAGAGTGCTTTATGAACTGAGCGCTGTGTAAATCGCATATCCGGCATGGAGCACTCACACCGCGGGATGGTCGGCGGTGTATTCCCCCCGTCATCTAGAGTCGAGTTGGATGCAAAGAGAGAGCTTAAAAGATCAGCTTTCTCCTTTGCAGCATGGGCCAGCGAGTCGTCCTCTCTGTGCAGAGATGGAAGATATGGCTGACAGAAGTTCCCTTGGACAGCCTTGGTGAGAGACCAGAATGCACGGGTTCCCGAAGGAAGGCGAACTAGCTTCCCGCCAATTCTGCCGAAATGCTCAGACCTTGCCTTGGCAATGACGCTTTTGAAGGACCTGGAGGCGGAATTATACTTCTTTTTAAGTGCGCTGGTGTTTACATCCCGAGACGTTGATACGTAAGCCCAGGCCCGGTAGCACTCCTGCTTATAGCGTGATGCTATTTTACAGGAGCGACCAAACCATGGCTGGGATCTGCCTCCGATGGGAACCACAGATGATGGAATAAAAAGTTCCATACCCTGAAGTACCACATCAGCAACAGAATCGGCAACAATGCTGGGATCATCCGGTGAGAAGCAAACCCGCCTCCATGGGTAGGATGCAAAGAAAGACCGCATTCCGTCTCAATCCGCCGACCTGTAATGCCAAACACGGCGGCAACCTGCGGAACGCAACCGCGAGGGGAGCGTGAGTGGCACCACACTCCGGATCAGACATTGGTCCGAAGAGCCAAAAGAGACATCGACGGAGACCTGATATCCGTCCGGATGAGGGGTCAGCAGAAGGTACAACAGGGAAGGTACATTATCCTCCACATCTGGGATCCGCGTAGACGAAGTAAGAAGTTGTGTTAGACCATATGCCAAGGCAAAGTCATAGACAGGTCTATCCGCATGATCAGTTAAACGGGAACCAAGCCATTCAGCGTGGTGGGCGTTAAAATCACCGAGTATCACGATCTCTGCGGATGGGACCTATTGTAGCACAGAGTCCGCAGCCATTTGGACTTGGCCGATGAGTCGGTCTGTGTCGGCATTACCGCTACGGGACCTATAGCTGCACCCGTAGACGCAAGGATGGTTGTCGCTGTCTACGCGCAGCCATAGGATGGACAGGTCCGTACCTTCAAGGCTGCCGAGGCGTCGAAAACAGATGTCCTCTCTGACGTGTACGCATACCCATGCCCGAGGCAGAAAGGAGTGTTCTAATTTGTACCCCGGGTAGGAGAGATATGAAGTATCTGCCGGAGACCTGAGTCTCGGTTAAAAAGAGCAAGGCCGGCTTCGCCGTCTCTTGATGGTAATGGGCAGAGTTAAGGTTGGAATGAAGTCCCCTAATGTTGCAAAAATTCACGGATAGCGTGATAGGGGTCGCTTTGGTCTTATTGCTCCGCTTGCCCCATGCAGTTTTAGTCGCGAGCGGAAATTTACCAACCCCCCAGAATACACGGGGCAGCCTGAGCACCCACGCTCAGGAGTGGAGTAGTATGGTCGTGGATGCTCAGCGAGGGATTCTCCCGGGGTGCTGGTACCCTGCTGGGGTAATCTTATCTTTAATTCTGCTACCATGTAGATGGGGGGTGGGGGGGTGGAATTGGGCCTCCGGCCACCTGCACTCACCAAACGCAACGCAGAGGTAAACCTCTACTTTATTATTTTATTATTTATTTTACAACAACAAAAATACATATTATACACAGTTCATAAGTACAGTGCAACATAAACCTATATAAGATTTTTCTGCACACTGCAGTTCGCCGTCTTTTGAGTGTAGACATTTTAATATTATTTAGAGTAAGAAGGTAGTTCGCTCGCTTCTATAACAATAACGTGAGGATGAGTTGTAGTATACAGGTTGTTCAGAGGAAAAAATATTTTTATATTTTTGAAATATAAATATAGTAATTATATTACAATTAGTATACATATATAATAGTATATTATACTTCATGCTGGTATTCTGTGAAGTCGTGGTACCACCCCGGGTCGAGCCGGCCCATCCGTGCGACAGCAAAAGCTGCCGCGTGGCTCTACCACTGTTATAAGAGATGACTATTGGAAATGTTAGAAATGTCTTATATTAGTAAAATATCTCAATTCATCAAAAAACACTTATTCCGGCGACGGGGACCAGCGTCAAAGATACGCCTGGTACTGCAATCGTTAAGCCAAGCGTGAAAATTAAAGAAGATCCTCACTACAATGTCTCCTGTTGTTCAGCAGTAGATTATTGCGGACTGATGATGATGACGATGATGATGAATGAGAAACCATTGTTGCTAACGTACTCTTTTATTCTTATTACGTTTTTCGTTACGTAAAAGCAAATATTATTTACAAGCTTGATGTTCAGCATCTTATTAGGCTGTCATTGTTATCTGTTTTGCATACACTTTCCATTGGGAAATCCATATCAGCAGTATCTATTTGGGTTGTTAACATTAAGACTTAAGTTAACAAAAGTCTGTATATAAGACTCTTCGACCAAACAACGAACCATTCTTCAACACTTGAAGCATAGTACAATCAAATTAATATTCACATTTTTTGATACAGACAATATTATAGTTTAGACATGGCTATGAAAATCGCAATCGTGTTAGGTGTTATGGTAAGTACATAAACAATACTTCATATTTAATTTGTTTGCAGTTTTTCTTTTTAAGTACTCTGCGTTAGTATATAGGTAATACTTTTTTCTTTTTACCGATTATTATTTTAATTTGCACATGATATGATTCTGTAAAACTTTTGTCAACAATGAAATATCAATAAAATAAAGCCTTACTTCAAAAACTAATATGTGTAATTATATTATTCTTTTCAGTTTTTGAAATCAGATTTTAATTTAGGTATTTTATTGTAACAACTAGAATGTCGTCTAAATAGGTACATTACAAATTTCGTCCATTGTTTTTCCACATTTTAGGGGTATATATTTTCTTAAAATTTATATGTGCCACCTCTGAAGTATAAACTACTTAATAAAGAAAGAATCATGTAGATTCGTTAAGCTGTTTCAGAGAAATCGGTGAACATACTTAAGAAAAAAAAATGTACTTACGTCGAATATATAACGTCCTCCTCTTTTGAACACGATTAATAAATAAAGCATATCATTAGAAAAATTGTCTTAGAAAACCTTATAAATCTAAATTCGCTGTTCTCTTTCAGATGACAGTGGCATTAGCCGTTCCTGCACAACCCGCCGCCGGTGGATGGGGTTGGGGTGGCGGTGGATGGGTTGGTGGTGCTGCTGCCAACCCGTGGATACCTCCGTGGGTTTCGGTCGCGCCATGGTATCCTCAGTGGACACCATGCACAGCCATTGGAAGCACATGCTTGGATTGCAACACAAAGCTAGTCTGCACGAAAATCGGTGGTCTACAACGCGCCTGTACTGATCCAACTCTTCCATTCTGCAATATGGGTGAATGCTCTGCCACGCCATCTGCGGAATGTGCAGTACCAGCTGTGAATAATCCACCAGAACTCACCGCCTAAACGTTCGAAACATATTCTCTTGAAAGTTTAATATTTTGAACTCATATTAAACATCATGCCATCTCGTTACATAACAACTTATTAATATGAGGCTCGATTTACAATTATTTATAAACATTATTAAATTTAAAGATACATCATTAAATCCATTAAATACATATTTTTATTAATAAAATTACATGCAATTTAATACTCTCATTTTTGATTTTCATTAACGAACCGAATGTGAAATTAGACCTACTCGTATTTTATAATAAAATAAATTATGGTCTTACAAACAATCACTAGTCCACTGCCGAATATGACCTCACCCACAAATTGACACAAAGTACGGTCCCAAGCAAAACACGTACTCGACTTCCTTATTGTAACATTAGTGAAGAACACAATTTAAAATATTCTTTAAGAATTAACCACATATTGCAATTTATTTATTAAATTATGTAACGTTGCCTACCTACGTAGTTTATATTCTGCTAAAATAAGACTAAATAATAACAAAAATATGAAGTTAATTATTTTATATACTATGTGATATTATTTTATAAAATTAAGACAACTTTTCAGTCTATTCAACTAGGCTTTGGCACTAATAGTTCAATTTTATCTATCGGCATATGTGTAGGTACTTTATCGGGCGAAGTTAAATTTTATTTACTGTCCCTCCCCATCCCGGGTGACCTTCACTCCCCTACGTGAAAGAAAGTGTCCCGAAGCGCGTTTTTCTTTCGGTTTTTAAGAAAACCGAAAGAAAAATTCATGAAAAGTGTGCACATACGAAATGATCCTTAGTAAATTTTCTATTAGTCATTTATACATACAAAAGCGATATTACTTATATTTTCTGCGCAATCTGCTATGAAATATGAACATTTTTTTATCAATTATTAATTTTTTTTGTTCAAAGTTTAGTTTTCTCTATTTTTTTCCACTTATACACATTACAGCCAAAATACGTATATTTAAAGTAAATAAAAAGATCTATAATTTATTTCTAAGCTCTTTTATTTTCCGCTGCTTGGCTACTTTTAAAATTTAATTAATTCGGAAATTCAGCGAAATATAAATATTTGTATTTTAGCTAAAAAAATTGGCAAAATAAATAGAATACTTTATCTATATGATATATATGTACATACTGCATATGTACGTTATAGAGCAAAGTAAAATGTTATCTACTCTCCCTCCCCCTCCCGGGTGAGCGTCACACCGTGCCTCAATAAGTGTCCCGAAGCGCGGTTTTTTCCAGTTTTGAAGAAAACCGTACACTATACGTGAAGAGTGTATCGGTACTAAATTATTGTTGATGAATTTGCTATAAATATTTTATACATACAAAACCGATATCACTTATAGTTTCCGCGTAATCTGCCACGAAATATGAACATTTTTTTTATCATTTGTCGATTTTTGTTGCTCAAAATTCAGTTTTATCAAAAATTTTACTTTACCGCCAAAATATGTATTAACTTATTTTATGAAAACCATTTCAGCAGGGTGACCTCCTAGGTCCAGCTCTTTTCAGTTTGGGAATTCAACCCTTTATTTCAAATTTGAAATCCAAACTGTTTGTCTGGTATCTGAACGACGGTACACTGGGAGGTAAATCAGATGACGTCCTGAGTGATCGTTCTCATATTTTCTAAAATATTTGCCTTACGCCAAATAAAAATAAATGTAAAATATTTATAATCCAATAATCTATCTAGTTTTAACAGAGATACTTTAATTCAAAATTTCTATCATATTTCTCCAGGTATAAAAACCGTCAGTGCGGAATCGCTATACCTGCTAGGTGCCCCGATAGTATTAATCGATAGTATTAAACCTGTTTTAAAAACAAAATTTGATCAGTTTTTAAACCACGTATACCCGATAAAATGTAAGGAGGACCTGATGGTAAGTGACTACTGCCGCCCATAAACAACTGCGACCCCAAGGGAATTGCAGAAGCGAATGGTGAGTGTAGAGAACCGGAGACCCTTTTTACTGGAAAAAAGGCATTCCATCTTAATGTCTCTCGTTTGTCACCCTTATCGTATAAAAATATTTTTAAATATGTCTGCAAGTCCAATGGAACGGCTGAACCGATTGCAATAAAACTTCATAAACAGACAGAGAACAATGCCAGAAGTGATCTACGATATTTTATCCGAAATACTTGGACGTTTAAAAAATGACGCAAAATTGATAAAATAAATGGCTTTTGATTATCTCATATCTAAGAAACACCACATTAACAAATCATACCCAAGCGAATCCGGGGTGGGTTTCTAGTATATTTGAAATATATACTTTCCTCTAGTTACAAAGAATTTTTGGCCGACAATATTTGTATTTAAGAATAGAATAGAATAGAATAGAATAGAATGATTTTTATTCAATATGGATTATTACATAATACTTATTGAAAGTCATTATTTTATTTACCACATAAAATATAGCCTCTACAAATAAAATGCTATTCAAAAGTTCACTTCCAACAAAGCTTCTGTTACAGTTACACCCATACAAAACCGCCGCCGCTGAATATAGAAAACCTAACAAAGGAAACTAAGTTGCAAACATTATTACTCATACATGTTTGTGCTGAATGAATGAAGAACGATTGACGAAAAAAGTGTATAAGGCGAGTGTGAATGAAAGTGTTGGAAGGGGTAGACCTAGGCGGACATTTCTAGACCAAATCAGGGACGTCTTGAAAAAAGGCCAGGTCAAGAGTACCCTAAACCGTAGAGCATGTATGAAGGGAATAATGAAAGTGGACGAAGCAAAACAAGTATGTAAGGATCGTAGCAAGTGGAAAGAACTGGTCTCTGCCTACCCCTACGGGAAAGAGGCGTGATTATATGTATGTATGTATGTTTGTGCTCGTGCAATTTATGTTTGTAAACTGCCTCCACGACACAGGAGAAAATCCTAGTGTGGAGGTAAAGTTTTTAAAAAAAAAGTGATTGCGATACAAGTTACTGGTTGTCGGAATTAGATACAAATCATTCGTGTCTAGGGTTCCGTACCCGAAGGGTAGCCTACAGGACCCTATAGACTCTGCTGTCTGTCCGTCGGTCAGCGGGCTGTATCTCATGATCCGTAGAATAGACAGTTGAAATTTTCACAGAATGTATATTTTTGTTGCCGCTATAACAGCAAATAATAAAAATTTAAATAAATTAAAAATTAAAAGAGTCTCCCCTACTAGAAACGTGTTTCTTTACATAGTTTTAAATCTTGTACGATGGTACAGAACCTTTTATGCACGAGTCCGACTCGCACTTGGCATGTTTCATTTAATTTGATCGAGTTACGGTTGTCTCCGTGTTTAAAACACTGTAACATCTACATATAACCCTTAAATCATGTAATGAAACCATAGTATCGATCGATTGCTATACCTTCTCAGCTGTCAGTAACATTCGACTGTATCGATAAGTTCTAGCCTAATCTAAATCCACCAGAATAACTTTTATACATGGTAGAGCCACGCTGTGGCTTTATTACGGTTTTAGCACGAATGGGTCAACTCGACCGGTGTAGGACCACGCACTAACGGAATACGAGCTTAATGCTGCTGTGTTTCATATATAGTAAGTGTAGAAAACTGGAGACCCTCTTCACTGGAACCGAGGCATTCCTTTCTAGTACCCAGAGATAACAACGCATCTGCATTTTGATTCTTAATTGAGGATAAATATGTCTATAGGCCACAAGATCCACTTACCATCAGATGGAGTGTGTGCACGTTTGTCACTCTTATTCCCTAAAAAAAAACTACAGCATTACCAGTATATTAAACTCCTATTGTAAGTTGTATATAAAAACAATTTTGTGGATCACCCTAACCATCTAAACTATGTATTTAGACAGAACATACATTTACATGGCAAAAGTTAATCTAGTCTAGCCAAAACCTACAGAATGACTTGACTTTACGCTGTAAGAAAACAGTTCACATGGTTTTATGCAGTTGCATATTTTAATAATAACACATAACTAACACAATCACAGCTAAATTACGAAATATAATGTAACTATATAAATAAAACCTAACAGTGATGAAATAAATAGACACGATATCTATTATATTCGTTGACGCCTACTCTGTGTTTGTATACTATGTAGTCATGAATGGACGGACCGAATCACACGGATTTTAACCTTCCGGGGGAAAAATAAGATTTTTACTGATATTCCAGCCCATGTCAGCTCTCATTGGCAACACTATACACTTCGTGTCATTGTGAATTTTTGGTACCAAATCAGCGAGATGTGTCTTCAAATTAAAATATTTGAAAATGGTTTTAAAGGGAAATTTATGAATTTTTTTATCCGAAAAATGAAAAAGTTATTGAAACATTCATTAACCGTTTTTATGATTCCAGTGTATGTAACTTTTGCATTTAAATAACTTGTAGAGTAAATTAATAAAAGCGCGAAATGTGAAATCTATATTATGAGACAGAACGAGCATCTCTAAGTACATCATTTTACAATCAACTTAATATGTATATTGTATTTATATATCTAATATGTGTATTGTATATGCGTTTAAATAGCTAGTGGGGTAGATTAATAAAAACGCGAAATGTGAAATCTATGTACCTATGAGACAGAACAAGCATCTGTACAGACTGTTTCAATCAAATAAATATGTACGAGTAGAGTCACCCGAGGCAAGTGTGACATAAGTTAATTAAAACTAAAATTAACATTTAAATACTCTCTAAGGGTTTAATATAGATAATTTCATTTCAAAACATCAATTTTAAGTGGTTGTTTGCTTGATCAAGCGTTTTAGTAATTAAAACTAATTAAGGTGGAAGAATGTCACATTACCCCACCAATGAGGCAAGTGTGACAGTACGCTTCTTTTTGTAGTTACTTTATTATCATCTGTAGTTTACGAGATGATACTAATGTCAATATATTTTATGATCTATTTGAACGATTTAAACGTAAACAGAAACTTGTTTCATCAAGATCCCATTATTGTCTCACCTTTG